GTGGTAAGCGTGGCGCCCCTTTAATTAATTGACCAACGGCGGAGACTTTATTCTTTATTTCCACTCCGTTCCTCATTCGATTGAGATCAGAGGCATCGAGCTCATGCGCACGAGAACCTTCAAGTACCTTGGATCAGACATTGTGTTCGATGGCAGTCTGATCTCAGAGGTGAACTCGCGATGGCGCTCGATAGCTGGGGTTCTCTGTGGCAAGACGATACCAGAGCGCCTCATACCAGTGATTCAAGGAACCGGTGGTTAGAACAATAGCCATGTACGGCCTGCTGGCCCACGACCAGAGAAGTTGAAGTCGCCTTAGCGTGATGGAGATGAAAATGCTACGTTGGGTGGCCGGAGTCATGCGTAAGGATGGGATTTGGTAACTATGACATACGTGAGAAACTCAGCATAGCTCCCATAGCTGACAAAATGCAAGAATCTCTTTTCCCATGGCCATGTACTCTGCGCTGAGAGACACCATCTATAAGACTGGTCTCCTGCTTAAAGTGCTCAGAAAAGATCCTCAAAGACGCCGCAAGCAACGTTCGTTCGGACGCTGTACGTAGATTTGAATATTTCTGGTGCCCACCCTGATCACGCGTTTAACCGGGAGAAATGGCATAACAAAATTGAAGCAGCGGACCCCGCCACAGATGGGACAAGCATTGAAGAATAAGAAGAAGAAGAAGGGGCTAGGTTTGCTGTGGGCGGGTGTGCGTCGAGGTGGGAGGAGCTACATCAAAAATTTGTGTCTCGGTTCCAGAGCGCCATAGAGACCGGAAAAAGGTGGATAAATGTCAGTAGGGGGGCCAGCGGTTGGGAAGAGAGAGGGGAGACACGCACACTGAAGCTGAGGCCAATTTCGAAAAAATCGTGAATTGGTTCGAGAGCGTCCCGGGAAAAGTGGATGGATCGTCATAACTAAACTTCCGATAACCTCTGTTCAATTAATTCTGGAGTTTCAGCGCCCGTAATATTGAGGGCCCTCTTTGAAATCACTTTTTTGATTCGCATAGCTTTCAGTGGGAGGACGGTGCGGCGGAACGACGTTCGCTACCGTAGAACGCTTTGATCCTGGGAAAACAAACCCTGTGTGGCAGTGCGTTGCTCCCATGAGTGAGCGAAGGTGAGGCCCTCATATGTTAAAGGTAATCATGTTTTTCAAATAGCATTCATTTTATAGGGAAGGAGTGGGTGCTGCTGTTCTTGATAATCTGCTCTATGCTGTTGGTGGCCGTGATGGGTGGACCTATTTGAATAGTGTTGAAAGGTACCACAGTTTTCCTTTCTCTTATTTTCGAGTTTTGTTCTTGTATTTTCGAGTTTCTTCGTCTTATTCTCGAGTTTCCTCACGGACAGTGAGCTCGAAACATGCCTCTTATACTTAAAAACACGTTTTTTTTTTCCTTTTTTTCGTTTTTCTTAGAGGCTTCTAGCGACAAACTAATGCCAGAACCCCTTAGATGCGTCAGGTGACCTGGTAGGCGATTGTACAAGCTGTACAACATTCAAAAAGTGAGAATTCTTTAGGATTCTGGTGGATGCTAAACAGACAGGCCCATGAGCACCCGTTAGGCCCATGCCAGCCCCCAGTGGCCACTATCTGATAGATAGTAGCCATTTTACCAGCTTTCTTCTATTCTAAATGGTGAGAGTGAGGCGACAAGGAAAAGAGCTGATATCGCTATGGTAAAAACAAGTGGGGAATCGTACGAACATGCTTCCTCTCCTTCGTATGCACATACAAGCTGGCATTACAGAGAAGATTTCGAACGGTTTTTCAGCTTTATCTTCTATGTTGTTGTTTGTTGCCTCGTCGTTTGACTTTGAGATCTAATACTCAGCATCTATGACCGCGGGCTCTGTCTTTGAAGGCAATTGGCATGATAATTCGAGTGACAGCTGTAGCGGATCACTCGCCCGGAAAGCGTGAGGTGCGGGTTCAACTCCCGCCTGGGGTTCGACTTTTGCCCATAACTCAGCATTCTTGTCATAACATTCGAGTGGCACTTAGAGGAGATGCTTAGTGGTGCGGTAACGTTGAAAAAACGGGGCGAAACGATGGAAGACCCGCGAAATGTGGATTCTGTTTCGGCCGATACCACACTACACCGTGCTAAAGCATGCATTGGCAGGAGGAATTTTTTCCAAATTTCTAGTTCAGGTTCCTACATTTTTTTGTTTCCCGGTCATACGCCGTTATCCGAGAAAACTATGTTTTCAAATGAAAACTCTCTGTCTGCTCTATCCATTTGGGACTCCATTTTCGGCTAATCGATCATCATCTCGATTTTATAGGTCTCTACAGTCCTCATCATTACGGTACTGTCGGGGCGGCACAGCCGCGCTGCACTGTGACGCGACAGCGGCTCGGTGACGGTGAATCAGCTGATTTCGATGGAATTCGGCTGCAAATTCCCACTTTTTCAGCTCTCCAAGCTTCTAAAGTAGAAGCATGATCAGCTCTTCAAGCTTCTAAAGTGGAAGAGTTATTCTGAACAATTTTGAATTGTACTGGCTCTGATTTCCTTTATTTTTATGTCGATTATTATGCTCTTTTCCTTGTATTTTGCCTTATTTCAGGCATTTATTCAAATGGCTTACATTCTTTCAGATTCATTCAGAGTCAGTACAATTTAAAATTGCTCAAAATAACTCACCTTCCACTTTCGAAGCTTGAAGAGCTGAAAAAGGGAATTTGCAGCCGAATTCCATCGAAATCAGCTGATTCACCGTCACCGAGCCGCAGCCGCTGTCGCGTCACAGTGCAGCGCGGCTGTGCCGCCCCGACAGTACGTAATGATGAGGACTGTAGGTTATAAGTGAATAGCTGGCAAAAGGCTTTTTCACCAAAGACTCAAAAGACTAATAATTGCACATCAACACACCGTTTTCGTTTCAACGAATTCATGAAATCAACACATCAATACTTACATGATTTCAGAAGTACAATTGTAGCGCCCTATCAGGCTGCAGCATGCCGTCCTGGGGCGTCGGGGACGGCGTGTTGCAGCTTGATAGGGCGCTACAATTGTACCCTCGTTGAGAAAGGCGAAGCGCAGCGCTTGCTCAGGGGTGCGGACTACTGTCCTGCTGGGCATGTTAGCCTTACGCGTCTTGTGGATTTATATTGTGCCAGCTTCTTTTCAAACGAATGTGGACCTATCCTCTTCTACAATTTGTGCCTCTCTCTGAGCTCAGAGCTAAGTCGTGAATTTTTTGACAGCATTCACCAAAAGTGCATCCACTCGCGGTTGTATCTTTCTAATCCGTCAGCCTGTGAATTTTTCCACCCTATTATTCTTCACTGAGCTGCTTGGAAACCGATTTTTCCCTTTAGGTGCCATTCACTACTGAGCATT